TCTTAAACTGTTTACTAATATAACTATTAGTCTCCATATCTTGCATCTTCTTTTACCCCAGTGCCTGGTTGGAAACAATCACATGTAGGGACTCTGACCAACATGGCCAGAGTCAAATACATACTGGATTTGCCAGCTCATCTACAGAGAGAAAGGCCTAATGTGATTTGGATGCCTCTTCAGACCACATTGTTTAAACAGAGAGTCAACATTTCCTGAAAGACGCAAGTCAGGCTAGGGAAACCACATGACAACATTAGCTATTTCATAACACCATACATCTTCATATGAAAGTGTATTTTAAAAATACGTTATATATTTTCTTTATTAATTTTATTTCCTCATTTACTGCTCAGTATTCTGAGATATGACTGGATGTCACCATCTAAGCACGGGGTGGGGTGGGGTGGGGTCTAGGAGCCCAGCATGGTTTCAGAAGTTATTATTTACATGGAGATAAACTTCATGCATATTAGCTTAACAAAAATTTGTATTATATATACACACACATATATGTGTGTATACTCACTGTCATCGGGTTGGTGCCGACCCATAGCAACCCTATAGGAAAGGGTAAAACTGGCCCCTGTGGGTTTACAAGGCTGTAACTCTTTACAGGCATAGAAAGCCTCATCTTTAACCAGAAGAGCACCTGGTGGTTTCAAAGTGCTGACCTTGTGGTTGTCAGCCCAACATATAACCACCACCAGGGCTCCTTGAATATTATATGGATGAAAAATAACTTAAGAAATATTGTCAAGAAGTGAGGTTTCATTACTTACCAAGTGTGTGACCTTGTCAAGTGGCTTCACCTCTGTTTCTCAGTTTTCTTGAGTCTAAAATGGGAACAACAATAGAACAGATACATTTTTAAGATGAATTCGGTGAGTCAAAACACGTAACAGCTTACAATAATGCCAGTTACATTGTTTTCTTGGATTCTGTGGTTTCGTGTTTTAGGAGAAACTTCTTTCCTCCTTTAATCTTAGTAAGATAATTTTTTAAAAGTTCAGTCAAATTCAACAAATATTTACAACGGATCCTGTGATAGAAACGGATGGGGATAGAAACAGGAGTGTTGTAGGGGTTGTTAGATGCCATCCCGTCAGCATCAGCTCATAGTGAGCCCGTGCACGATGAGAAAACACTGCACGGTCCTGCGCCATCTCCAGTCGTTCCTAGGACGGAGCCCATTGAGGCAGTCACTGCGCCAGTCTGCTCCTCAGGGCCTTCCTCTTTCTCACTGACATTTACTTTCCCAAGCATGATGTCCTTCTCAGGAGCTGGTCTCTCCTGCCAACATGTCCAAAGTACGTACGATGGAGTCGTATCATCCTTGCCTTTAAAAAGGAGCACGCTGGCTTTACTTCTAAAACAGTCATTTTGTCCTTTTAGCAGTCCGTGCTATTTTAATATTCTCCTCCAGCACCTTGATTCGAATGCATGTATTCTTCTCCACACTTCCTTTTCCTAAGTCCAACTTTGACATGCATATGGCACACAGTTGAACACTATGATTGGGTCAGGCACACCTCAGCCCTCAAAGTAACATCCTTGCTCTTCCATATTCCAAAGAGCTCTTGTGCAGTAGATTGACTTCATGAAATACTTCTTTTGATCTTTTGAGTCCTGTACAAGTATTGAATGTGCACAATGAAACATTCTGGAATTCTTATTCTTTTCAGAGTTTGGCCTGACTTTCTGGTAGTTCTCTGTCATTGTGCTGCTAGAACTATCATGGAATGATAAGGAAAGTTTACTTGTGTGCTATATCTATGATAACATTCTATAGTTTGAACATGTTGCTGGATCATTTTTCTTTGGAATGGGCAGATATATTGATCTCTTCCAGGCAGTTGGCCCAGTAGCTGTCTCCCACATTTCCTGGCATAGACACATCAGTGCTTCCAGTGTTTCTTCAGCTTGCTGAAATGTTTAAATGGGTATTATGTTCATTCCTGGAATTTTTTTTTTGGCTAATGCAATCAGTCCAGCTTGAACTTCTTCCTTTAATACCATTGGTTCTTACTCATATTTCACCTCCTGAATTAGTAGACTATTGTCAAACAGGTATAGGCCATGTATTTTGGCTTTTAGGGGACCGTATGTCACTCAAAGAAACAGACATGAACAGAGGGACAGAAATTAATCAGGGAAAGCTGAGAAGCCATATCAGAGGCACCGACACTGGGACTGGACTTTAATCATCGGCACAGAGATCAAGAGCAAAACGTCTTCAGGTAGATGGTTTACTGGTATACATAGGCGAAAATGAAGTAAGGGGAATACCTGGAGAAATCAAGTTCTGTATTAGTAGAAGTAAAAACTGCAGGAGTTTAGATATTATCCTTTGGCATCAGAGAATTTTTAAGCCTGCAGTACATTATATTAATATTGATGTTTTAGGAAAACAACTTTAGCTGGATGTGTAGGTTAATCTGAGTAAGAAATCAAAAACAAGAAGATAATTTATAAGTGCATTATCAATATTTTAGACAAGAGCATTAGTAAAATGATCACTTAAGAGATGTTGAAAAGGATCAATAGTATCTGGAGCTAAGTAGGAGTTGGGGAAGAGGGAAGTGAAGGGCATTAGTCAGGATTTTGAGTGTGTACTACATGGAAGAACATCACACCAGGAGGTTGACAATAAATAAATGCTACTTTAATGGCAACCTAAAAGCAATTCACTGTGAATGTAAAGTCCAAATGCTTTTGCAACTAGATAAGGATGTTTGAAATAAACTATTGTGTTAAAATTTTCCAAGGGGAAGAATATTCTGAAATGTACAAAAAAATAATATCTTGCCATCTTGAGTTCAGATGGGAGTAATATATGAGCGTTTTTAATCACAGAATCTAAGTGGAATGTGTGGTGGTACCATATGCTGCTTCTTTCAATGACTTTTTGAATTATTCTTAAACAAAGACAAAAATAAAAAATGAATGCCCAAATAAAATCAACAGTACTGATCAACATACCAAATTAAAAGCATGTAGGAGTGACCATGCATGTATGTGCACATGTGCACACACACACACACACACACATCCTACAACCCAATTAGCTGCCAGAATAGGTTCCAACTGACCTATTCATAATTCACGGGACTTAGTTAAAATGCTAAAACATATTCTACTGATTTGAATTTAATCAAGAATATCCTGCAGGAGTCTGGGATTAAGATGTCTTTTGGATGTTGCGGCTCATAACATCTATCAAGATATAAGTTAGTAGATCAGCTTGCATTTGACCAGGGAATTTTGTCTAAAGTCAAAATGGCCAAAATAAAAACTGTCAAGTTAGTCAAGAAGAAAATAGATTTACTCTAAATATGGGAATCATCCTTTGTTTAAGTGTATTAAAAAATTACAGTCATATCCAACCTAGTCCTCTCAAAGTATGGAATCATTACTATTGATAATGGTTAAGAAGTGGGTGGCACCTATTAATACTGTTCACTTTGAACTCTGCTATTATTTTTACATAGTGGGGGCCTTTGATATTACACTCACTGTATTATTAGATATGTATCAATCATCAACAGTATGTCGATGACCATATTTGGCACTATAATAAAATGTAAGATTATAGTAATAAATATACTAGTGAGCTTTATGTTTATTGGATGCATTCGACTGTGTGGATCGTAACAAGCTATGGATAGGCTTGAGTAGAATGGGAATTCCAGTGCGAACCTA